ACTCTACATTTGATCCCAGCTAAGTTCCATCCCTGGACTCTACATTTGATCCCAGCTAAGTTTCATCCCTGGACTCTACATTTGATCCCAGCTAAGTTCCATCCCTGGACTCTACATTTGATCCCAGCTAAGTTTCATCCCTGGACTCTACATTTGATCCCAGCTTAGTTCCATCCCTGAACTCTACATTTGATCCCAGCTAAGTTCCATCCCTGGACTCTACATTTGATCCCAGCTAAGTTCCATCCCTGAACTCTACATTTGAACCCAGCTAAGTTCCATCCCTGAACTCTACATTTGATCCCAGCTAAGTTCCATCCCTGAACTCTACATTTGATCCCAGCTAAGTTTCATCCCTGAACTCTACATTTGATCCCAGCTAAGTTCCATCCCTGGACTCTACATTTGATCCCAGCTAAGTTCCATCCCTGAACTCTACATTTGATCCCAGCTACGTTCCATCCCTGAACTCTACATTTGATCCCAGCTAAGTTCCATCCCTGGACTCTACATTTGATCCCAGCTAAGTTCCATCCCTGGACTCTACATTTGATCCCAGCTAAGTTCCATCCCTGGACTCTACATTTGATCCCAGCTAAGTTCCATCCCTGGACTCTACATTTGATCCCAGCTAAGTTTCATCCCTGGACTCTACATTTGATCCCAGCTAAGTTCCATCCCTGGACTCTACATTTGATCCCAGCTAAGTTCCATCCCTGGACTCTACATTTGATCCCAGCTAAGTTCCATCCCTGGACTCTACATTTGATCCCAGCTAAGTTTCATCCCTGGACTCTACATTTGATCCCAGCTAAGTTCCATCCCTGGACTCTACATTTGATCCCAGCTAAGTTTCATCCCTGGACTCTACATTTGATCCCAGCTAAGTTCCATCCCTGGACTCTACATTTGATCCCAGCTAAGTTCCATCCCTGGACTCTACATTTGATCCCAGCTAAGTTTCATTCCTGGACTCTACATTTGATCCCAGCTAAGTTCCATCCCTGAACTCTACATAGTCCAACTATATAAACACAATTGATGGTATAAAATTATTGTTACCCTAGGCGGTACTTTCTTAAAATGATTTTTCCAACTTCATATTAAAGATTTAGGCCCACCATGTGTGGGATCGTAATTTTAGAATTTGGCCCCTGGTGGTATTTAGTCAAGCTAAATGAGTACACTGGGTACCACGCAAGTTCTGAAAAGCCCAATTTAGTTTTTTAGTCCAAAATTTCTGAACAACTATGTAACGGGGACATAACTTAACTAAGCAAGATTACTCACTCTATTACTTTTATCTTCTCTAAATAAAAGTGGCGGAGTGGGTTGTAGGCGGAACATCTGGTTCAGACTTAAATTTACACTTGGAATCGCTAATAAATAAAATCCCGTTGTGGATTAAAAACTTAGAACTTGACAAGGGAAACACATTTATTTTTACTTCAGATATTGCTGCGCTTTTCGCTTGATTTGCGCTATTTTCAGTTGCTTTTGTTCAAAACTGTATCCGTGACGTCGGTGAGTTAACGTATCTAGACAAATTATAAGGAAATTATGGAGGTGGATAGGGCAAACTCTTCGAAAAACCCCACCAGACTATCCCTCACACGAAATCCACATGGAAAGGGGAAAGATAGGAAGGCCAAAGAATACATGGAGGCGCGAGCCTTGCATGGGATACAACTGGAAAGGAAAGCAAATGACCCTAATGAATGGAAAATTATTGTAGACCGCCTATGCCTTACGCGAAGTAAAAGGCAGAAGTAAGTAATTAAGTAGACACATGGTTTCATACAAAGGGGTGGGGAGGAAACAAAATGCATAGTCTATTGTTTAATATAATAATAATAATAATAAAGTTCATTTCAAAAACACGCTTCATCCCCAAAGGCTCGAAGCACGGTACAAAGTCAACAAAAAACAAATCTATAATTTACCACATTTAAAACAAACGCAACACTACAAAAACTAATTACAAGCATACAATGTTAAAGTCTTTCTAGCCATTTCAACCATAAGCAACACAGCCATTAGGCTATGCATTAACTGGAAAATAAGGTAGACACTCATCCCAGAAGGTGTTTGCGAAATAGATGTGTCTTTAAATCGGTATTATGCCCCACATCTTTGAGTGTGCGTTGGCAATTGCGTAGCCAGGTTAGTGTCGCCCCTGGTGTGTCAAGATTTTTGCTGCCCCCTCTTACAAAATAGTATGCAGTTGGGCGTAAATACCACCCCTTCAAGGTATAGAAAGAAAAAAAGTGCCACACAGGGTGAACCACCAAGTGCTACTTGTATTATTGTATGTCAAAAGAATTAATTTGAAGAAAAAGTGTCGTTTGATTATTAGATTTTATGTTCCGTTCCTTCCACCTATGATGTGCGATTGAAATTTATGATGGACGAGTTCATTATTATAAATTATAAATGTAAATGTAGGATTAAGAAATTATTAAATTTACAATTTTAAAAACTCACATAGGAGTTTATTATTCTAATTTAGAATAATTTTAGTTTGAATTTAATGTCTAGTTCATGTTAAAATATATATATTTTTTTTTAATTTTTAAGTAGGGTACATTGTAGAAATTTATAGATCTTTCCCCAAGTTTTATTTGCGAAAACATTATTTGAATACTTTGGCGAATACAATTTATTACTTCCTGTTCCAATGTAAACAAAAACAAAATGACGTTGCAAACCCAAATGATTGAAAAACGGAAATTTTGAAATGATCTCTACAATTTGGCCTAAATATTTTTTCTGTAAAAACATAAGATTGTTGAAACGCAATAATTACAGTAAGTAATAAAGATATCTAAGCACTGAGGAGTGCTAGATTCATATTATACATATCCATTATAAGTGAATAAGTATAAATGTGTAAGTGTATTATAAATTAAGCAATCGGCAATAAGTCGAAATTGTTTGTAGGAACTTAAAATTACCTGACTGACTAGATAGTTGCAACCAGTTCTTAGGAGAAAAAAAATAATCAAAATAGTACAGTATAAAAGAACAAACTTTAAATTATAAAATGAAACCAAAATCAAATTTTCTAACTTTTGTAGTTTCTGAGCTATTAATTTTCCTAGTACCATTTCGTTTTGTCTTGTCCTTTTTTATTTATTAACATGGACTGCATCTCCATACTTTGTGACCCAATTCTGCTGTTTGCGTTACGAGCTATAACTCTCATTTTAATGATCATTTTATCTTTTTTTTTTTTTTTCAGAATTAATGCTACTGGTGTAGTAAAAATTAATTTTAATAATGTTATGACATGCAATTATTATGCCATGCAGTTATAAATAAATCATAACTTCTCTGACTATGCACTATGATTATGACTGATTTCGCCCGAGAAATGCCGAAAACCAGGTTTTGTGATTTTGTTATCAAAATGGCGACCTCCACTTTTTAATTTACTGAGAGTGTCGCTGTTTATG